CCCACTGGAGCCTAACAAGTGCTAAGGGCAGAAATGAGGCAGATACTCCATGCCTAAGGGTTGACATCAGACAGTACTGATGCTCTTGCCCATAGGAATTCCCCCTCAGGGCATCTCCTGGGTGACTTTGGTAAAGATGCTTTGAGTCAGCTGATTCTGTCAAGCAGATGACTCTGTAAATGTTGCACCCTAGGACTCTGCTAGCTTCTTCCCTTGGACTACCTCCACTTCTCTGTCCAGAGAAAGATTTGCCTGGTTCCCCACTAGTGCCACTGGCAACAGGGTTTTCCCATGGCCTTGGTGTAGCCTCTGGTACAGACTCTCAATGACCTGGAAACTATGCAGAGAAGTTACAGAATAGATAAGCACGTAACCATGGATCCCAGTGATGAATGAATAAGGCAGAATGCTGTCTCATCTATTCTCCACTGTAGGATCCTGGCCTTCCAAGAACTTGTCTTCCTCAAACTGACGTGCTAAAGATGTCTTACTGACAGAGCAGTACTCCAGGATCACCACCTTCCTGTAGCAGACCAGTGGCATGGGAGGAACCAGCCCCAAGTGGCTTGTGGAACCATGCGCAGAGAGAGCCTGAAGGAGAGGCCAGGGTGTAGGAGGTGCAGCAACCAAAGCAAGAAAGTTGCTTGTGCCCCAGCTGCCCCAGGCAAGCTAAAGAAAAACTGAAATAAGCACTGCTCCTTGAGCTGGCTACATGATCACTGCACAACTTAAAAATACTGTTATTAATTTATATATTGGTAAATGTATGTGATAATGACCAGTTTCACGGTATTTGGTACATGTACATAATATATCTTGATTCTTTTTGTTTTTGTCCCCTTTCCCTCCTTTTCCCCCTCCCTTCATCTCTTGTTCTCCTTCCTATCTGTGTATTTGCCATGGTTCCCTTACTTTCCTCTACCCTATCCACTGAGTAATGTGCAAAGTATTACTGAGTATACTGCTACAGGATGGGAAGGGAACAACAGCCTACTGACTAAACTCTCAGAGCATATGCCCTTTAGAATTAATGAGCAATACAAGTGAAACCCAGGCCCAAATGGAGAAGAACAGTGATGAGAACGAGGGGAGGGGGTCAAAAAGGATACATCTGTCTCTGAGCCTTTGTCTCCACCTAGTTTTTGGTCCTCCCATGTTGCATGGTCACAATAAAATTATTTGACCTGACTTCCTAAAATGGTATGAAACACTGTGGTAGCCCTATTGTGTACTCCATGATCCTCACCATGGTGGAATCTAGATACCTAGATTCCCAGGTAAATACTACTGGCATCCTACTTCATCAGGTTGCTTGTGTTCTGCTGAAAGAGCATACTGTTACTTAAGGAACTGTGGTTCTCTAGGCAGTGATTGCAGTCATAGGGAGGTGTGCAGCTCTGAACCCTAACCCTGACCCTGACCCTGACCCTGACCCTGACCCTAACCCAACCTCATTCATGAGAGGTGACCAAACTTATGACCTAGTCATCTCTCAGAGCTCCCACCACTAAAAACACTGACAAGGGGAATTAGGCATCAACACATAGATTTGAGTGGGACACAAACATTCAGTCCATTGTAATCAGTCCATTGTAATCACAATCTCCAGAGCAATCAATTAAAAAATAATACAAATATGAGGTAGGAGGGCAAGAAAGGTGATGGGGGTGAAGATGATCAAATGTACCAATCTGCCAAAATGAAACACATTGCTCTCATAACTGATGGGCACTAATAAAAAATATAAAGTTATACAGCTAAAGTGCCACTGGATAATCTAATACGAAGTGCTACAAATTTCTTTAACTTTATAAAGATGTTTATTTCACTTAAAATGCTTACCTTGTCAGGTTAAAAAATTAGAGGCAAACTGGCTTACATTTTAAAATAGATCATTCCCCTAGTTCCAATGAAAACAATGTAAATACAAGCAGTCTGTATATCTTGCTCGTGAATTCACATCAATACTTCAGTTCTCTGATCATTTGACCTTATCTATATGTCTATATATATTTATTTATATCTATATATCTATCGATACAATTTTTTTTTGAACACAGACCACAAGAGTCTTTAAAATTAAAAAAAAAAAGACTACCGGAGTGGAGTGGGGTTGGGGCTTAGAACATAGTGATATGGCTATTTGGTGTGATTTGTTATTGCTCACCCTTGTGATGGTCCACTCCCATCACTGCTAACATGAAGATTTGAGATTTAAGCCCCTGAGCTGTAGGGCTTTTAATCAGCTTTTCTGGCATCAGCATTTTGCACTGGTATGGCTGGAGAATAGGAGCCCAAAGTGAACAAATCACTGTGTAAGTACAAGATGAGATGGGAAGGTTCTGTCCCGTCCATATAAAAAGGTATAACTGGTGTCATCAGGCATATGGAGCTACTGTGGAGATGTTTTGGGAATTAGATCCCAGAAAGGCAGTTCCAGCTTTAAATCTGTAAAAGCTTTTGGCAGTGTGCCAGCAGCTTTAAAAGAGGAAGAAAGTTCCACTTTAAAGTAATCCTGCAAGTGAAGAATTTGTTCCACAGTGATCCTTTTAAATGTTGAGATAAAAGGTTGGCATAGGTAGTTAGGGTTTAACTAGGAGACTGTCCACAGCCAGAGCTCAGTAAAACCAATAGTTAACAGTTTCTTTAGCTTTCTAATTGTCACAGAAATAATTTTTAAAGATGGAATTATGGCCAGAAAGATAAATACAAGCCCCCCAACCATTTGGCAGGGCAGACTTAATAAAACTGAGTGTAAAAGCCCAGAGGAAAGTCTTAACCTACTACTGAGAAGAGGAAGTCTTAAGTTTGGGTCTCTGTGCTTGAATTTTAATCTCCCTAACACACCTGTCCTTTGTTGGGTAAAACTGGTTTGGTAGACTACTTACACCTGCTAGTCTCCTTTTCCTCTCAGCTTGGATAAATATTATTTCATGGTTGTCTTCCATTTATAACAAATGCTACTAATTTTTTTTCTGGAAAGTAGTACAAATCTTTCATGTATATAATTTTAGTTCTGTTTAAAAATATAAGTAGTGACACAGTGTAAAGATTGTGATGTCTGGAATGTCTGAGGTTTGAAATAAGTTAAAGGAAGATTGTCTAGGAAGGGCTAAGACTACCTTAGCTTTTCATGTATGTGGTATCCAAAGTCTGAAGGTGGGCATCAGGACCCGTATGATACCATTACTACTGGGCAAGGTTTTCATATTTCTTTTTTTTTTTTTTTTTTTTTTGGTTTTTCTCCGGTACCGGGAACCGAACTCACAACCTTGCACTTGCCAGGCAGGCGCTTTTGCCGCTGAGCTAAATCCCCAGCCCCGGTTTTCATATTTCACATAAACAGAAAATATTATAATAATACAAAGAAGGCAGAAAAGGGAAATCAGGAATAAAGAAAAATAAAAGTGACAAACACAAAAGAAATAAAATGGTAGACCTAAATTGAACTGTATCAATAATTATGTTAAATGTGAGCACTCTAAACACACCAATTAAAAAAAAATTGTCATCAGACATGGTGGTGCACACCTGTAATCCCATCAGCCTAGAGGTTGAGGCAGGAGGATTGTTGTGAGTTTGAGGCCATCCTGGGTTACATGGTGAATTCAAGGCCAGCCTAAACTATATAATAAGACCTGGTCTCAAAAACCAAAAACAAAAATTGTCACAATTAAAAAAAAAAAAAAAAAACAGCAAAAAGAACCAAAGACCTGTTTGCTATCTATGAAAATTCTACTTGAAATATAATGCTCTAGATAAGTTTAAGCAAAAGTCTGGAAAAATATACATGGCAAATATAATAAAAGGCTGGAGTGGCTAGGTAATTATTAAAGCTACTATTGGGTATAAGAAAGTATGCTCCATAATTATAAATGGTCAAATTAATGAAGAAGATGCAACAATTCTATACTCCATAATTATAAATAGTCAAATTCATCAAGAAGATGTAACAATTCTAAATACATATGCACCTAATAACAGACCATAAAAAAACAAAAAACAATGGTGGGCATGGTGACATATGCCTGTAATCCCACCGACAGTACTTTGGACCCGATAAAAAATTAAATTTCAAGGCGGTGACACTGGTAAAATTAAAAGGAGACCTGTAAGGTTTTGGCACTATTGAGAGACACTGCCGGAGATAAAAAACAAGGCTTTATTGCAGGCATGGGAGAGTTGCAGGAGATTGCAAGGACCCTCAGAGGAGGGAGCTGGGGAACCGGTTTTTATTAGGTTGAACTAGGGGTAGAGTTAATATGGGCAGGCGAGGTGTCCTATCTGGAGAGGATTGGAGGATTGTTGGCATGCACATGAAAAGGGAGCAGGAAGTTTATTTTGGACTAGAAGAGGAAGAAGACGGAAGTTAGTCTTAGAGGGACACGTTGTCATTCTGAGGCTTAATGCCATGTTGGATCACTGCCATGATGACCCTGGGATGACCCTGGCAGAGTTTCATAGGGGCAGAAACCCATCAAGACCTATATCCACAATTATAGTTGGAGCCTCACAGTCTTTTGTCTATAACTAGTAGAAAGCCAGTAAGGATAAAAACCCAAAAAGCACTACTGGAGTTAGGACTGGAGCTAGGGCTGGAGCCCAGCGGTTGAACAGGTGCCTGGAAGGCAGGAGGCCCTGGATTCACTGCCAAGTCACAAAAAACCTAAAACCCCTCCAAACCCAACACAGCCCCCAACTTCACTAGTTTGTGATTTGCTTCTATCATAAACTACATTTCTGGCCCCATAAAGTTTCTCAGGCTGGCCCTCTAATTCACACTCTTGCCTTATCTTCCCAAATAGCTGGGATCACAGGCGTGTACTACCACGTCCGGTTGCATCACTGATCAATCTACAATCCTTACCTGTCTTAATCTAAAAATATATAGTAGCCGGGCACGGTGGCTCACGCCTGTTAATGACAGCACTCGGGAGGCTGAGGCTGGAGTGTTGCAAGCTCGAGGCCAGCCTGAACTGCATAGTGAGAACCTGCCTCGAAAAGGGAAAAAAAAAAACTTGCTTAATTCCAAATTAATTATATTGTCAAGTAATGAGATGTCCTGAGCTGAATTTTAACATAGTTTTCTCAAAATAAATTATGACGTAAAAATACTCTGGCAAATTATGTAGTAAATTAAGGCCGTACAACATACACAGACAGCATAGTTTAGCACGCCGGGAGGAATGGCCGGGGAAGCACAGCGAGGCTCAAGAAACAGCGGACCAGTGGCTGCAGAAGGAAACACACAGGTCCACACGCCTGGAAAGACTGGGCCGCTAGCCGCAGAGTGAACTCAAGGCGAGAAGTCCTGCTCCGTCCCCCACCAGCCCGACAGGGGGCGGCCGAGAAAGCGCACATCCGGGTAACAGGGCTCGCGCTTGCGCAGTGCCTGCGAACATGGCTGCCGCCGGTCGTCTGCGGTGAGTCCCTCCGCGCGCCTTCGCGGTCGTTGCCTCACTTTCTCCCCAGGGGGCGGCGTGGGAGGGGCAGCCGCCTGCTGCCGGTGTGGCGGCGAGCGGAGGCTCTGCAGACGAGTTTCACGTGGGCAGTGGGCGTCTCGGGCCGGCCCGGGCGGGTTGCCCTGACGTGAGCAGCTGTCATAGGGGTGTGGATGTCCCTGGACGCTTGGGTCGCCCGCCAGTGCGGACCCCTCGCTCCTGGCCCGGCCGGTGAGCGGCCCCGGTGCGGCGCCGTCCTCCGCGTCGCCTGGGAGTTCTGCGCCGGCCCGGCCGCCTGTCCCGCAGCGCCGCGTCGACCCGCGGACACCTGCAGGCGCCCGTCGCCTGGTCCCACGTGACAGCGCTGTCGTGTTTACTGTTCCCGCACGTTTTTTGTTTTCTTTTCTCTTAGCCAAAAAAAATGTTTAAACATTTACTGAGTAGGTTTTAGCATCTGATTGCAATTCTCGTCTTAATCGGGAAAAGTAAGTTATAAATTCAATCCTCTAAATCCAAGGGAAATAAAGCAATTATACATTTAAAAGTTTACTCAAATGATGCTTCTTTTCATTTTTATTAGTACATGTTTGCAGTACCTGATTGCATCCTTCATCCTTACTTGTTTAGCAGCCTTTTCACACCTTTGGTTTACAGCTTTATTTCCTTAGTCAGCTCCCCGCTTCCAATATTTTATGTTAAAATTTTCCTGCATATGGAAGAACTGAAAGGCCTGTGCAGTGAACGAACAATCTCTGCTGCAATTTCTGTGCCGTCTTTTTTTCTATGCATCCTTTTCGCCGTGCACTGATCCTTCTTTTTTACTACATTTCAAAGTAAGTTACAGCTCTCACTGTATTTACTCCTCAGACATTTCCTTGTGCTTGACATGAATTAGAGTTAAGTATTGCTTTTTCGTTTTTTTCTTGTTGGGTGATGGAACCCACTGTTTGGCACTTCCAGCTCCTTTATTTTTAAAGTTTATTTTGAGACAAGATCTTGCTAAATTTCTGAGGTTGGCCTCAGAGGTTGTGATTCTGTTTCCTCAGCTTCCTGAGTAGCTGGGGTTACATGCATGTGCCACTGTGCCTGGCTGGCTTTAAAATTCTGGTTTTGGAGGCAAAATTGGCTTACTGTGAAATGTACAGATCCTCATGGTGTAGTTGGCAGAGCTTTGATACATGTTAAACCTTTATCAGAATTACAGTTACCCAGGAAAAGTCCTTTATTCTTTATCAATGTTAAAATTTTGGTTGTTAGCAGCTCAGGCTTCTAAAAATATGTTTTGAGTACTAACTCCCATTTTGTCCTCTTTTTTCCCCCAGCACCAAGCAACTATACGTTATTGCTTGTTTCTCCCTTACCACCCAGTTTTTTATTTTGAAAAGTTTCATTCCTCCAGGAAGGTTGCAGGAATCATCTAATGAATGCTTGTAAACGCATCCAGATTTATAGCTAACATTTTTACTACATCAGTTTTACTTTTATTTCCATTTTTAAAACACACATTTTCACTACGTCAGTTTTACTTTTTTTTTCCATTTTTAAAACACACACACACACCTCCATGTTTTATGCATACAGTGTGTGATGCAGTCTGGTGTGATACAGGCATATGTTTACATACACTTATTTTTTTATTGAATTACTGAAAGTGTATTACAGACATCCTGACAGTTTACCTTGAAATGCTTTTGCCTGAGTAGCCTAAGAAGACCATTCTTTTTTTTTTTTTTTTTTTTCTGGTACAGGGTATTGAACTCACGACCTCGTGCTTGCCAGGCAGGCTCTGTGCCGTTGAGCTAAATCCCCAGCCCCCATGAAGAGCATTCTTGAGGAAACTACAATGCTGTTATCCAAGTACTTTATTATTGATAATGAGTCCTTGTCTAATATTATACAGTATAGCTGGGCGTTGTGGCACATACCTGTAATACCAGTAGGGATTAGAAAGAGAACTAAAAAATGGGGAGGCTGAGGCAGGAGGATTGCTGTGAGTTCAAGGCCAGCCTGGACTACATAGTGAGTTCAAGGCTAGTCTGGACTAGAGAGTGACACCTTGTTTCAAAAAACAAAAACAAACAAAATATACACATACGCGCGCACACACACACACACACAGTATGTATTCAGTTTAATCCAGGAACATGTATTGTATCTAGTTGTTAGGTCTTTTTTATCATTAGTGTACTTTTTTGTTTTTGTTTTTTCTTTTTGGTACTGGGAATTGAACTCAGGACCTTGCACTTGCCAGGCAGGTGCTTGTGCCCTATATCCTTGGCCCCTGTTAGGTCTTTTTAAGTCTCCTCCAATTATTTTATTTATTTATTTATTTTTTTAACTGGTGAGGGAACCTAGGGCCTTCACACATACCTAGCCTTTCTTGTTTTTTGAGACAGTATTTTGGTAAGTCTCTAATTTAGCAGAATGGTTCCAATCCTCCTGCCATGGCCTCCCAGAGTGTTGGGATTACAGGCCTGTGCTACTAGGGCTGGCTTCATCAAGTTTTAATCTGAGTGTTCTTGCTTTTTCTTCTATAACACTAATTTATTAACATTTTAATTTAACTTTTTTTTGGTTTTTATGAAGTAGGATCTCACTATGTACTTCAGGCTGGCCTTCAGCTTGCTGAGTAGCCCAGGCTGGCCTCAAATTCACAGCCTCCTGCCTCCTTGTGAGTTCAAGTCCAGCCCAGGCTACAAAGTGAGCTCAAGGTCAGCCTGAACTGTATAGCCCTGAGATTATAGATGTGAGCCACCATGCCCAGTGACATTGATGTTTTTAAAAGAACTACCTAATGGGCATAATGGCTCATGCCTGCAGTCCCAGCTACTCAAGAGGCTGAGGCTGGAGTATTGCAAGCTTGAGCCCATCCTGACCAACCTTGTGAGATCCTGTCTCAAAATTTTAAAGGGCTAGGGAGGCAGTGTGGTGGCAGGGCAGTTTTGTAGCATGGACAAAGCCCTGGGTTCAATTCCCATTACCACAAAGTCAAAAAATGAAAGATATGGGTAGGTTCTTTTGTACATTGTCCCTCGGTGTTAGTTAATGGTCACATAAATAATTCATGTTCTGCAACTTGTACAGGAGGGTGTACAACTGCAGGCATGTCCTTCAAAGTGGTGCGTTGTATCAGGAGTTGTGAAGTTGGTGGTGGGCACACAGGTCATGTAGTTAGTGCTGTTTGCCAGTGATCTCCACATTTCCCCCCTTTGTAATTAGTAAATCATCCTGGTGGTGGTACTTTTAATAATTCCTTGTCATTTTTTCATTTTCTCTTAATCTCATATTTGTGATGTGTTGTGATTTTGATATATTCAGATGTTTCAAATCTGTATTTTGTGCCTTTTATGTGTTAGGACACTCTTCTTAATGTAATAATGGAAAGGTGTTTTTTAGTTCTCTTTCTATTCATTCTCAAGGTTTTTTTAATGTGTGCACATATTTGCCTGCATTGTCACATATTGATGTTTTGTTCATCTGGAATGTATAATTATGTGTGTTTGGGATTGTGTATAAATTGGGATTTGTAGTATTTTTTAATATAAAAAGGCATTAAGAGAAATACCCACTCCTACTAAGGTATGAGGCCATCTTTACTACCTACCAAGTATGTTTGGACCTCTCTGTTGTTCTCTTTCCTTTGATGGGTTGCTTAGTTACGGAAACTTTAGAAGAACCTTTACTCAGGCAGAGGAGTTCTGTGCTCCTCTTCCTTCCTTCCTTCCTTCTTTCCTTCCTTCCTTCTTCCCTCCCTTCCTCCCTTCCTTTTGCTTGCTAAGGGGTGGCCTTAGATATTTCAGGAGCTGTCCTCTTATGTGTGATTTACAGGAGCTGTTTGTCATGCTCTAATAAAATTCCTCCTGAGGTTTCCTGTAGGAAGGTATTGCTTTTATAGTTTTATCTGGTGATAGTTTTTGTGGTTTCAGTGTTGGGTTTTGTTGTACTTGAACCAGGTCTAACTCCCCACTTAGTCAAAGTTATCTTTTAAGATCAAGTATAATTTTTCTTAGCTTTTCTTTCTTATTTCTTTGCTTGTTTCTGATTTATTTATTTATTGTAGTGGTACTGGGTGTTGGGCTGGGTTTTACTACATCTCTGAGTTGCCCAGGCTACTCTTGATCTTTTTTTTTTTTGGTCTTTTTGAGACAGGGTCTTGCTATACAGTTCAGGCTGACCTTGAGCTCACTTTGTAGCCTGGGCTGGACTTGAACTCACAATGATCCTCCTGCCTCAGCCTCCCGAGTGCTGGGATTACAGGCGTGAACCACCATGCCTGGCTGCTCTCAAATTTGAGATCCTCATGACTCAGCCTCTCATGGTGATGGAATTATAGGACTGTGATTTAAAAATGTTTAGACTTTTTAGTTGGGTATTGTTTTAAGAGAAAATTGATTTTTGGTTTCAATAGTTATTCCTTAGGAAATTAATATTGCTGGGCATCTGAGTTCCTTTTAAACATATACAAATCCCTACCATGGTAGTACTTATGATCTAAAACATCACACATTTTAAAATAGTCATCAATCCCACCATTCTCCTCCAGTTCATCACCCAGGGTCATTAATCTCTCTAAAGCCTTTTAATAGTTCCATCAGGAGCTGTATTATTGGGAATGAAGGTACAACATTTCCCACACATCATGACATAGACAGCTCTTTTTTCTGTTGATATATCTGTGCAATTGTGTTTTCCTAGCCCATTTGACTGGTGGGATCTAGTTGACTCACTGTTCCTTTTAGGGCATCTCTAGTATAGTTATGAGTCTTTGTTAATTATAATATATATATTTAATCCAAACTATATTTTTACTAATTGTGGACCACCAGAAGTGTTCTGACTCAAACTGTGCAGCTATTTGATTCTGGTGCATTGGGAACTCTTTGAGGGACTCCAATTGAATCAATATAGACCTTTGAGTCAAATGAATCAGGTATTGCCCTATCACTCCTGTGGCTGGGATCCTTTCTGGGCTGCTTGTGGAATGCTAAGGTGAATGGGATAGCCAGTTAACCTAAAGCACAAGTTCCTGTCTAATTAGATGGTAGTCTACCAAGAAAGTTCCATTTCCCACAAAATCACCAGATGTCAGCCTAGTGTACACAGAAGGCAGAGTGATTGTGACTATCTGGTCCTCCAGTGACATTCAAGCTACAGCTCCCCTATGGGTTTATAAAACTCTGCCCCTTGCCGAGAAAGGCAAGATGAGTGATTCACATTGCCTGTAGAGAAGGAGAGGCTCAGGTCAGACCTTTGCAGTGTGGAGAAGACCAATGGCAAGTTCTTAAAGGGCTCATTTCCTCAGGCATGATTGTCTTGGTACAGAGTAAACATGCAGCACCATCCTTGGTGGTCCATATCTCTACTGAGGGGAAAGGGAACAACTTGTACCTTTGAATGATGGGCAGCACATGTATAGCAGTTGCTCTTAATAAGGATATGCACTGAGAATTTTACCCATTTGACTCAGGCATTTGTGTCTCCATATCCAGTGTCTATCTCTAGACTTTGTCTATGTTTAACTTATACTGTTTTTATTCTTTGAGGGTCATTCTGAGGCATCTCTTCTGGACTTGAGGTGGGAATCTCTTCAGTCAAGTTAGTTACAACTTGAAGGTTTAGGTATCCTGTGGGGTCCTCCCTAGAAACATATGTCACTAGACTGCAGATTGTGTGCTACCCCAGAGTTCTGATCCAGTGAATCTGGTTTATTCATAGTCAGGAATATTGTATTACATTGTAATTTCTGACAGTTGAAGGGGGAAAAGCATTATACAAGCATAACTTTTTAAAACCACTTTGCACCTTTAAAACCACTTTACTCAGCCACTTATCCCTGGTTTTTAGTGGTCTGCCATACATCATTTCAAGTGAGGGAAGAGGATGTGGAACATCTGTGCACCTCCCCATCCTAACACTGGGCAGAGGTGTTTATTAGTTTGTGAGAGTTGTCTCTGGCTTTTCAAATTCTCGTAGGACAGAGTCTGACAGGAATCAAAGTTAATGGTTTGAGGGCTGGGGATTTAGCTCAGTGGCATAGTGCCTGCCTGGCAAGTGCAAGGTTGTGAGTTTGATTCCCAGTACCGGAAAAAAAAAAACCAAAAAGAAAAAAAAAAGTTAATGGTTTGAAGTTCTGAGGTTCCAGTTATGTTTGTTATCATCCTAACTGGATAGTAATTACCTTATTTTTTTAGGCTTTTGGTACCTTTTTATCATTAACTTCCAGTCTTTTTTCACCTATAGGCTATTAAACTGCTCAGCTAAACCAGGCATAAAAGGAATGCACCCTTCATTATTGAACCGTTTTGATCCCTTTTAATTTTAGTCTCAGAGTGTCCTTAGGTGATTCATACATATCCCACTGACTTTGTTCTACCCCTTCCCAAGTTTTTACTATTAACCCTTTAGCCCAAGTATAGTGAGTCCATCCTTTTTTCTGCTGTTGTTATTGTGGTCTCTTTTCAGGAGCACTTGATTAGGCCCTTCTCAATTCAGATTGAACTAATGCTCTTTTCAGGTCTTTATCAACACCAGGTGACTGGGTTGAAACTGATGAATTGTGAACTCCAGCAGTGGGATGTAGGTTAGGAGACCTTTCAGCATGAGGGAAGATAAAGCAGAGGATATGGTCAATTCATACTTTTTTAGAAATTGGTCTTTCTTTCCAAAGTATGGAGTTCTGTAGCTCTGCCCAAATATGGGAGTGTATATAGCAGTTTATAAGGGGACAGCCCTATATCACTCCTTGTGTATTTTTGGAGAGAGATAAAGGGAAGAAGAAACAATGGGATCCTTTTTAGGTCCCCTATTTAGGTCCTGTGTGAACTGCCTGATGGACCTAGAGGTCACATTGTATGTGCAGCCCAGCCCAAGGCTGCAGCTTGCTTCATTTTTTAGTCATGACTTGCCTATGTATCTTCACCAGTCATGTAGAGATCTGCTGTTTATACCTAGAACAAGCATCCTTGTTGCTAGTACCGATCTATTTTAATCTTTATTAGCAGATGAGGAAGGCAGGAAAAAGGAGTTATAAACAACAGCTGGACTTTTACCTAGAAATTAACCTAAAGGTTACCTAAAGGTAAACCTAAAAATTACCTAAAGGTTTTTAGCCAGGTGTGGTGCAGCACCCCTGTAATCCCCATACTTGGGAGGCTGAGGCAGGATTGTTGCGAATTTAAGATCAGCCTGGGCTACAAAGTGACCCCAAGGCTAGCCTGAACTGCATAGCGAGACCTTGTCTCAAAAACAAAAGACAAAAAAAAGATTTTTATATCTAGGGATTTGTAACTTATGTAAGGAACTCATGGAGGGTTTAAAAAGTCTGGAAATGTCACTTAGCAACCATAAGTTATATACTGTTTTAACACAATTATAAGCAAATATGAAAATTTTTACTACCATAAACAACTTTAGTTGGAAAATCACCAGCATAATATGTTTTTTCAGCTTTGCATGTTTGAAGGCTTGGACACTTGGGAATTGCAAATATACTTAATACACTATTAGGTTAGCAATAATTAGTGTAACCAAAAGTTTAACAATGGAGAACACAAGAAACTTAGTACAATATAGAACCTTTGAATAATGAGGGGGAAAAGAAGGGGATATAAATAGAATAAAGCTATGCCATGGACAGGAACCTAATAACCTCAATGAATGTAAACATTATATGCCATATGCATGAGCTAAAATTAATAATATCAACAGGAATGAGAGGGTGGGGATTTAGCTCAGCAGCACAGCGCCTGCCTGCACAAGGTTGTGAGTTCGATCCCTGGTACTGGAAAAAAAACAACAAAAAAAAAAAACAAAGAAAACCAAACAGGAATAAAAATGGAGAAAGGGGAATTAGAGGAGGTGGGAGGAAGAAGGGGGTAGAGAATTAAAAAAATGGAAGCAGATTGGATTTTGTTTTTTGTTTTTTGTTTTTGTTTTTGTTTTTCTTCTGGAACCAGGAATTGAACTCATGACCTTGTGCTTGCCAGGCAGGTGCTGTGCCACTGAGCTAAATCCCCAGCCCCTGGATTTTGTACATGTACCCACTTTCCAAGATGATTGTAAAAGGCATGTACTGCAAACATGTACTAATAAGTAAAAAAGAACTTTTGTTCTTTACTTTTGTAAGTTTAACTGAAAGCATCTTAATATCTTAAGAAAACTTAATTGTTTTACATGGAGGACTTAAACTTTTGATTATGGCCAACATAAATGTATTACAGTAACATATTTAATCACGTTTATTGGGGTATATCACTATAAGACTCTGGGAAAATTGCCCAAGTCCTGTCAGTAAACAAAAACTTCTTGTTTTATGCACTTAGAGGAGCCTTGTCCAGCAGTTCCTCTAAACCCAATTATTTTAGATAAGAGCACCAATTATAAGAGTTAACATGTTTTAAAGTTGTATGTGTTATCTTTTGATGAGGGGAAAAACCCTTAAGTTATTGTATGTAGATGACAGGTGGCAAACATTATCAAGCTATTTCTCCGGACTAAAAAAGAAATTAAACAAAAATATGTATCTATTCTTAATATATAATAATAAATAAAGTGATATTTTTATAGTAAGACATACTGCTTTAGGCAAGTTAACACTACAACTGATTTTTTGATAATTCAGCTAATCAGTCAAATCAGTTAAGTAGTAAAGAGAAAATTTGAGATTTAGTAGCTCTTTTAAATATAACATAAATTCCTTCATTTTATAAATACTTTGTACATATTCATTTTAGTTAAAAATGACACCTCTATGTTAAAATACAAATAAATCTTCACATAAATGAAACTCTAGGAATAAAGGACAGAATATGTTATTGGTAGTTGGTGATATACTTAAGTAATATCTCCAATGTCAGAGACTCACTGAATAAAGTAAAATAGCATATGGCTTTTATTATAATAAACATTTTAATTAAAAAAGGTAAAAAGTATAGGGAGCCAGCTATCTTAATATTATGAAGTAGGAGTGGGACAGGGTGGTGAAAAAAAGATTGACAGTGATGAAGATACTAGGAGATCTTTACAGAATGCTGTCCATCCTCTAGGCTGGAAGGTGCCTCAGGATCCAGTTTTCCTCAAAACAGTAACCAGCTTGTGCTGTCTTTCCAGTAAGAAGGCAGATTTCTGATCACAGAGCTAGACAAGAACTTTTCACTCTGTGCTGTTTCACACAGGATATGTATGGATTGTTAGAAATACGTTGGGAATATGTATAGTATTGGGAATATGTATGGGTTGGTGGTATGGTTCCTGGTGCTGTGAACACAAATGCAGGGGCCAGGATGGTGACCAGTGTGACTAATAGTATCTGGCCTCAGTTCCCCACATCTCAAGCTAATCCTTTTGATGATGTTTATTCCTGGTGCTGATCGTGACTGGTCTCAGAAAGGATGAGATCCTGTGCCTTTCTTGGAAACTGGTTTTGGCTTTATTTCTCAGATTTTATTTTTGCCTCTCCCTTTCACAGATGTGAATTTTAAAAAGGGAACAAGTAAAACTACACAATCACACATTTAGCCCATCATCCTTTCCGTTCTTCAAGATACAGATTTGTGAAGCTTACTTTCCCTTTTTTCTCTTTTCTTCTCAGCTTTGGACATGAGATTGGCAATGGTGGCTCAGAAGGTTCCCATGGAAGAACTGTCTTGTGACATGGAAATGGAAAGATTTGTGAGAGATGACACCTCCTTGCTGGTTCTGGGTGAGAACTGGGACTGTGAGAACCACAAGAGACATTTGAGGCAATCTGCTTTACCCCAGGAGAAGCCAGGGGTTCAGGTAGCAGTCTCTGAATATCTTGGCTTTGAGGAGCATTTGAGTGCAAGCTGGGGCCTTCCACCATCTCAGAGAGTACCTACAAAAAATGGTTTACATGATGCAGATGCCAGAATGTTGGATTGTGACCAGCCCTTACACAATTGCTCCAAAAAGTATGCAGGCAAGAGAACTAGTGACAGTGATGCCTGTGGAAAAACCTTACACCACTCCTTAGAATTTACTCAGTTTGGAAGAAATAAAGTGAAAGACAAACCCTGTAAATACCCTGAAAATGTTAAATCCATCAACCATTTCACCCATGTTGGCAATCAAAAAATAATGAAAAGAGGAAAGAAACTTTATGAAGACAATGACTTTGGGCACATCTTTGCCCTGAGCTCATCTCTAAGTGAAAACAGGAGGAGTCACCTCACTGAGAAACCATATAAGTGTACTGAATGTGGCAAATGCTTCAAACGTAACTCTTCTCTAGTTCTGCATCACCGAACTCACACTGGAGAGAAACCTTACTCCTGTAACGAGTGTGGAAAATCCTTTTCTAAGAACTACAACCTGATTGTGCATCAAAGGATCCATACAGGTGAAAAACCATATAAATGCAATAAATGTGGAAAAGCATTTAGTGATGGGTCAGCTCTGACTCAACACCAGAGGATTCACACAGGTGAGAAGCCTTATGAATGTCTAGAATGTGGAAAAACCTTTAACCGAAATTCATCTTTGATTTTGCATCAAAGAACTCATACAGGAGAAAAACCATATAGATGCAATGAGTGTGGGAAACCCTTCACTGACATCTCTCACCTTACTGTGCATCTCAGAATCCACACGGGTGAGAAGCCATATGAGTGCAGCAAATGTGGTAAGGCTTTCCGAGACGGCTCGTACCTTACCCAGCATGAGAGAACTCACACTGGAGAGAAGCCCTTTGAGTGTATAGAGTGTGGGAAATCCTTCAACCGTAACTCCCATCTCATTGTGCATCAAAAAATCCATTCTGGGGAGAAACCCTATGAGTGTAAAGAGTGTGGGAAGACATTCATTGAGAGTGCATATCTCATCAGACACCAGAGGATTCATACTGGTGAGAAGCCCTATGGATGTAACCAGTGCGAGAAGCTTTTCAGAAATATTGCTGGCCTCATCCGGCACCAGAGGACTCATACTGGTGAGAAGCCCTATGAGTGTAATCAGTGTGGCAAAGCTTTCCGGGACAGTTCCTGTCTGACCAAGCACCAGAGGATTCATACCAAGGAATCTCCATATCAGTGTCTGCAATGTGGGAAATCCTTTAAACAGAACTCTCATCTGGCAGTTCATCAGAGACTGCATAACAGGGAGGGCCTCCACCAATGTCCTCATTGTGGGAAGTCATTCAGGAGGAGCTCATCCCTTGTCCGACATCAGAGAATACACCCTGAAGAGCAACCTGTGGAAACATAAATGCTGATGACCACACTCTTTTCCCAGTTGACCCAAAAACCTGCACAAAGGTGGTGTGGCTTCTGATGTGACTTTCTGGTCCTAAAGATACCTGGAGAATTGGTCATTGTGAGACATTTTGCAGCCCAGTTATTCCCATTATTGAGGAACTCCTGGAGAAAACATTAGATGATGGTAAATGTGAAAAAAGCTTCAAGAATCATTAAGCCAGTCCCAAACATGGTAGTATGTATACAGGAAGAAAACATGAGAATGTGAAGAAGATGCTTCCATCAAGATGTCTACCCATCTTTTATTCAGCATGCTAGAAAGAACTCATGGATGTAGTCAGTAAGTGATCAGTAGGAGGAATCCTTTAAAAGGGAGTGTCCACCTACTTTCCAGAAGCAAATGCTTATTAGAATCAGATCTTGTGAATGTAGTCAGGAAGAGAAGTTTTTAGAAGGAGCTTTTAATCTTTTCTTATCAGCAAAGACATCCTGGTGAGCAAACCTACATACCTCTCAGCCCACAGCAAGGACAGAATTAGAGCTGGAGTTTGCCTTGTGGAGGCATTTCTGTGTTACAGTCCTTCTAGGACTCATGGAGGAAAGGGGAAACTGGACAGAACAGTTGCTTCTGAAGGAGTGACATCATCTTTCCTAAAACTAATACCTGCCTCTAGGATTGAAAGGGGTATTTTCAAGAAATATGATCTATTGCTTTAGTTGTGGAAACTATGAAATAATATGTTATGTTTTCCTTATTTCTTCCCTAGTCCCATCTTTGTTTTTCATTGAGGACCTCTAATTTATTCTGTTCAGCCATTCTGACTCATAATTACAAAGGTTTTGTTACCATGTTGAAAATGCTTATAATATGGCAAAAAGAAGGCATAAGATAGGAGATTTACTGTTTTTACTGTTAAAGATGTGCACATATGGGTATAGATTAGAAATAAGTGATAGAGAAATAAAGACGTCATTAGGGGACTAGAACTGTGTATAGTTCTTTCCTCTATTACAAATCATACATTGTTGGTATACTAACTTGAAGGATTGTTAGTAAAAGTGTGAAGCCTGAAGAAGTAAATTTGGGGATTATTTGGATCTTCTCTACCAGGAGGAGCTAGATCAGGGCTGTAGGAGCTACCTCATCAGCATCAAGGCAGAAGTATCCCTGTGGTCAGACAGCCCAGGGCACCAGAATCATTTCCTCCTTTGGGACTTGAACTCTAGGATTTTTTTCATTTTTCATTGTGGAGAAGGTAGAGAACTCTAGGAACTAGAGTTTTTGGAGAAGCCTGGGACAGCTCTAGAATGGCCCTTCTGAAGGCTACAAAGCCAGGAGAGTTCATGCAGCCATCAAGCCCTGTGAGTGGATGCCCTGGGGATTTTGACTGCCTACACACCCCTGAGTTCTATATCCTGGCTTGTATGGCAGGAGAGTCAGAGTGAAGACCTTCCTGAGTCATTTAAGGCTATGAATTACATTAATTAGAAACCAAACAAGTCAAATACACCGTACAGTGTACTTGTCTATCCTTACATCTACTTGGGAGGCTGAGGCAGGAATATTGAAAGTTCAAGCCCAGCCTGGGCAATTTAGTGATTTAGGAGACCCTGTCTAAAATTTTTAAAAGGCCTGGGAATATAGCTTAGTATAGAGGCCCTGGGTTCAATCCTGAGCACTATAAAAAACAAAACAAAACCAAAAAAAACCAAGGCATGCATCTCTGTATGCTTGCCCTTCCATGACAGAACCATCAGATGAATCGCATAGAGGAGGCATGAGGATGGCCTTGGTAAAGATTGCACATTGATCTGTGTAGATGTCTGTTTCTGTAGACACTGTCTCCCTCAAATTGTCTAAGAGTGGGTAAGAAATATAACCCTTAGATTTGTTCTGAGCTGCCATCTCCAGACAGGTTGTGCTTGGGACTGTGTCAGCATAACTGATGCCTTTTAGTACTTGGCATGGGGACTGTTTCTGGAAGTGGTGACTAAAGGGAGGAAGAAATGCCCTGTGAGCTTTCTCACAGTGTCAGGTCCATTCCTCTGCATGTACACCCCTTAGATGCTTCAACACATAACTACACCTACATAGGAAAGCCAGAGGAGGAGAGAGGAAGAAGAGGGCAGCAGCATCTTGAAAGAACCCTGTGCAGGTCTATTTTTTGGCTCATGCTCAATGCGCTTCCCCATATTTATGAAACCATCTTGTCCCAGATCTTCTCACCAACCTCTCCTTGATACCCCAGTGTTTTCTCATCTGTCCTGTCCCTAGAGCTTCCCATTAGGTATTTCTCCTGTTGGTCCAGAGATGGACAGAACTTTGGGTTGGGTCTAGCTGGTTTCAAGTGTTTGAATACCACTATGGATTTTCTGAGCATTAGTCATGCTGCTGTAGTTTTCTAGACAAAGCATCCTCACATCACAGTATGAAGATTTACTGACAGTTGTGGAACTGGTATGAGCAAAGTACAGGTTCTATGACTCTTGTGACCTGGTGCCTCCACACTGCTGAAATTCTGAGGTCTTAACTCAGGTCAATTGGAGAGGGGCTTCAGGTAGACAGTGTGTTCTGGGTATGTCCTCTTCCAGGTCGAGTCTTAGCTGCTTCCTGTGTGGTGTATACTTTGGAACAACAGAAGACAGATGTGAGCAATGACCTAATCCTGGCCAATGAAGCTATATCCCAGAGGACAGTAGATGCCAGCACTGATACTGAGAACCAGAGACAATGAGGCAAGAGGTGGGTAATGGGGGCAGTAGGAGGGAAGAGTACAGCCTAGGAAAGCATTTGGAGAAATACCAAAGCCATTGTACATTTGAATTTGGTCTACAGCAGAGTAGAGATTGGTGATCTTCACTAAACCAGCTTGGGTTTCATGATGGTGGTGCTGTATTCCAGGGACCCTGGCTGCAGGAGAGTGACACATGAGGGGATCCAACTAGCTTGTATCCTACACACACACAGACACGGAGAGAGAGGGAGAGAGACTGTATGTAATATAGCCCACTACAGAGGAGCACAACTCTTTCACCTGACTTTGGTCAGCCTCCTCTGAGCCCTCTGCTCAATGAGGTCTGACTTTGGGCTACCTTCTCTGTTCTTGTAGGATCCACTTCACCCTTGTAGGATCCACTTCATGCAAGAGTCCATTTAGCTAAAGAACCTACTCTCACCCCCAGTGTTCAAGCACATTGGTATTTGTCTGAACTCTTCATACCCCACTTTTGCTATCTGAGCTCCCTAGCCAGCCTCAAGAAGTATTTTGTTGAGCTGCCCATAATTTCTCATGTACTGACTCCCACTGTGCTGCTTGGTTATTTTATTTTATTTTATTTTATTTTATTTTATTTTATTTTATTTTATTTTATGGACTGGGGATGGAACCCAGGGCCTTTGCACTGAGCTATATTTCCAACTCTTTCTTGTATTTATTTTATTTTTAAAAATTGATGGTAGAAGTAAGAAAAGGAAGGAGAAAGAAAGAAAAGAAAAATCTCTTGGTCTTGGTCTATTTTGTTAGTTGACGTGGACCACTCAGCTTGGTGTCATTTGGGCATTCATACAGCCTGAATTCTAGAACTATTCAATTAAATCTTACTAGTGAGAAGCCACTAGTGACAAGAAATATCAGAAAAGGTAAGGGAGAGGTGTCCATTACCTCTACTACCTCTGCCCCTTCGTTGGCTGGGAGAAATTCCCTTTTAGCATCAGAACAAGTCCAGATCATAAGAATGTGCAGAAGTTCATATGGGGGTGATGGGGACAGTGATAACTGTGGCCATCATGTTCCTAGTTTCTGCTAATTTAAACCTACCTTTGGGTTCACTATGCCTAACATCTCAAAGGGAAGGTAGGGGAGCTAGAGTTTTGTAGGGCAGATAAGTCAAGGAGTGACTTGTGTGTCTTATAGGAGACATGAGGAAAGATGGGGTGAAGGGGAACAGAACCCCTCTCTATCTCAGTCTCATTTTGGAATAAATACATAAGAGCAACCTGGTCCCAGTTAAGGCAGGAGAATCAAGTTCAAGTCCCACCTCAGTAACTTAGTGACTTAGTGAGACCCTATCTCCAAATAAAAAGTTTGAAAAGGGCTGTACAGCAAAAAAAAGGAGAGGAGAGTTGGAGAAAGACTTTTCAGGAATATTTATCTAATACTTGACAGCAAGACAAAGAGATGAGCCAGGCTTGATGGTGCTCTCTTGGAATCCCAGCACTTTGGGAGGCTGCAGAAGAGTTGCAAGTTCGTTTGTTATATTGGAAGTTTTCCTTTCTCTTGGGTAAACACCAGGGAGTTTGATGTTGGGCCATATTATTTGTCTGTGTTTAACTTTGTACCTTGTTACATTCCTTTCCAAAGCACCCACTCCTTTTTGTTGTCCCACTAGCAATAAATGAATGTTCCCATTGCTCTGTGTCCTTGATAGCACTTGATACACCAATTACATTTTTAAATTTTAATTCTTCTGATGTGTATGGAGGCCATGAAAGAAATTTTAACTAGTAAAAGGGCAGTAATTCAGGTATTTTTTTATTAGCTTCAGGTGAGTTATGCTGCAGTAACAAATGTCTGTAAATATCTGAGGCTCCAAGCACCAAGGCGCATGTCTGTTGTGGACTGGCTGCTGCCTGACTCCATACTGCCTTCACTCCAGAGCTTGGGTGGCCTTCTCTTTCTACCTGGGCATAGGAAAGGACAAGCAGATCTGAAGATTTAAAAGCTTCTACCCTGGATAAGCATGGTATTGAAGGAGGAAATTAAATTTTTAAATAAAAGCCTTCCTAGGATGCCTGCTAAGGCCAAGCGGACATGTCTGGCAGGCCTGATAACAGAACATTTCTTCCTTTGTGTATCCCCTGTCTCTACTGCTTCTGTATAACCGATGGCCTTGCAATGCAACTTAAAATGTAAAAGGATATTTCTTCCTTTGTGTAACCCATGCTTTGTACAACTGATGGCCTTACAATATAACTTGAGATGTTCAAACTCCTTCAGCAACCCATAATGTCACCCAGCCCTCCAATCACATGTGCCAAATCTGCCTGTGTACCTCCCTGCTTACTTTCCCTTTAAAAGCTGCCAAACCCCTCTGGCTCTTGGGGAGAGATCCTAGTCAGAAGCCCAGTGGTGTAATAAACTGCCCCCTAAACCTCCTTAGTGCCCTTTCCTCCCATGTTTGCTCTATTTTCTGTAACAGTAGTGCACACCTGTAATCCTAGCACTCAGGAGGCTAAGGCAGGAGGATCATTATGAGTTTGAGGCCAGCCTGGGCTCTGTGGTACATTCAAGGCCAGCTTGAACTGCATAGCAAGGCCCTGTTTCAAAAAGTGGTAAATTTAGATATGACAAATTTTTAGAGATGGCTGCAGAGGTAGTGGTGGCAGTGACTCTGGAGGCTGTAGTCTGGGTCTTGGCTTTGGTGCCAGCCCCAACTTGGTAACACTTGCTGAGCTGCTGGTGCTCCTGGCTGCTCTCCTGGATACACCCTTAGGTTACTTCATTAGCATTAATACTCATGCTGGGAAGTGCTTCATCGAGCAGGTCACCTCGGGCGCCAAGATGGGCTTCATCTTCAAGGTTTCCAAGGGCAGTTTCCTGGACGTCAGTGTGTGCTGTGTCCAGTACAGCTCTTGAAATTCCCAGGGAGAGGACAGGGGGGATGAAGAGATGAAGACAAGAGTCAGAATCCAGAAAGCTGAGGCCAGGTGGAGCCCTCTCTACTGATGGGAGAAAAGGAACTGCCCAATGGCTGCAGTGCATTTATTTATACAATCAGCAAGAGGTTGATAACAGGTGAAACTCCTCTCCTAATAGGAGAAAGGACTCATCTAACAACTTGTTTGTCTGGCTCACCTCAGGCACTCCATGTTCTTGGGCTGGCTTTGCTTTAGTCGTGCATGTGTGACTGATCTGCTCAGCTACTCCCCACAAATGTAGAGATCTAAAAGGTTTACAAAGGAGACTGCGAGTCCATGGGAAGTACATATTTGCTGCTCACATGGACAGAACATAAAGTTTT